CTTTCCCTCCCTCTTGCTAATCTTTGTGTGAATATCCATAACCATAGTTTTATAATGCATTAGAAAAAGATTTTATTGTGTTTTTGCTTTTCAGAATTCTAATTGCATATGAGAATGGGTTGATCGTTCTCTGGGATGCTTCTGAAGATCAAGTTGTTCTTGTTAGAGGCCTCCAACTAAAGTATGAAACAGTAGTTGATTGTGTACGAGGAGCAAAACGTGACCTTCCTGATAATTTGTCCGACAGTGAACAGTCGGAGAAAGAGATCAGCGCTCTTTGTTGGGCATCTGAAATTGGTTCAGTTCTTGCTGTTGGCTATGTAGATGGAGATATAATCTTTTGGGACATGTCAAAGGACGCTTCTTCAAGATATGGACAGGGGGAAGAATCGGCTAACGATGTTGTTAAGCTGCAATTAGCCTCAGGAAACAGAAGACTCCCTGTAATTGTTTTACATTGGTCTGCAACTAAATCATGCAATCATCAAGGAGGACAGCTCTTTGTCTATGGTGGGGATCAAATTGGATCTGAGGAAGTTCTGACAGTATGGTTTTAACTTAAATTGACTTCTCTGAATTTTGTCCTGAGCTATGATACCTATTGATAATTAAACAAAAACCGTAATGATGCGCTTCAACTAAAATGAACTGAATGTCTTTATAGGGAAAAAAAAGAGTTTAGATTTGAACATAAGCCATAAAAGATGTTCCTCTTGCAGAAGATCGTTATACGAAAACTTGAGTATCTATTATCCATAAGTAAACAACAAGCTAAGATTTCTTGGAGTAGGCTGGAATGAGAATTTGTTAAAAAAATCTACAAGGTCATGAGTATGACTTTGCTACTATGGTTCACGTGATTAACTTTTAAGAGCTATAGAAAGTATCATTCTTCACTTGAGCACATACTTTTTGTAGTTTTTTAATCAATATATTTTCTTTCATTGGCAGATTTTAAGCCTTGAATGGGATAAAGGGATAGAAAGTCTGAAATGTGTTAGTCGGTTCGGCCTCTCGCTTTACGGTTCTTTTGCTGATGTGGTTGTATTCCCAAGTGCTTATGAAACAAACAGCAGGGGGACTTTGTTATTTATTTTGACAAATCCTGGGCAATTGCATGTGTATGACAAGTCTTGCCTGTCTTCCTTAATGCCTCAGCAAAAGAATACCCCTGTTCCTGCAGTACAGTATACTACGATGGTACCTATTACTGAACCGAACATGACAGTATCAAAGCTTGGTTTTGTGCACAGAGATGGAGATCTTTCAAGAGTTTTGTCTCAGGTACTACTTTGGCATTTGAGAAATTCTAAATACGTTATATACTCCAATACTATCACCATCCATGAATTCAAAAATCTTTGTCCAATAAGAGAGTTAAGCCACTCAACTTCCTGAAATATGTCTTTGGAAGAAGTGTAATCTATTAATTAGTTTCTCTTTGTTCATTAGATAGTATCAGCTGAAAAACTAAATGCTGCACATTTGCCCAAAGAAGATACAAGGTGGCCTTTGACTGGAGGTGTTCCCAATCAGTTTTTTGATCCCCAAACTTATCAGGTTGAGAGACTGTATATATCAGGATATGGAGATGGATCTTTTCGAATCTACGACGCTACGTATCCAGATATGTCACTTATCTATACCATAGGACCCGAGGTTTGTTTGCTTTTGCAATTTGATAGCTTTGAATTCTTTTATTGTGGTTGACATATTAACCCACAATAACATCAACCAGTTTCCTTATTTTTCCTGTTTATTTATGATGTGGTATAATGTCAACGCAGGTGCAAGGTATACCTGGTGCAATTTCATCAGTATCCGCATTGGAATTTTGCTCTTTTACTTTAAGGTTGGCTATTGGTGATGAAAGTGGTCGGGTAAGAATTCATTATTTTGTCTCTGCCTTTCTCTAAGTTGATCAGATGTGATGCATAATGATGCTCCGCTCATTGAGTGTATGTAGGTTCGTCTATATGAGCTAATAGAAAGTTCGCAAGAGAAGAATTTGCATCTTGTGAGAGAAAAGAGTACTGAAGGTTTCGCATATACCTCTATGCTGATTTTTTTCCTCCAGAGTTTCATATTTTGCGTTAATCTGCCCTACAACTACGCCTATTTCTTTTGACTTTGACCGGTCTAAGTGTATATCTGTTTATGTTTACCCACAGTTTACAATTTGCAACAAGGAGATGGGCCTCATTGCATCGCAGTCTTTTCTATCCTCTCTTCCCCTATATGCACCCTACAATTTGCAAATTCTGGAAACAGACTTGTTGTAGGATTTGAATGTGGACAGGTGAAAATAATCTACTGTCTTCTCTTTTTGGGTTATATTTGCAATATTTATTCTTAGCCTTGACAAGAGTTATTAACTTCTTTCCACTCTTTCTTTCAAAAAGGGTTTATAATTGTGGGTAAGTTTTTTCCGATTAGAAAGCCGAGAATACTAATTTCAATTTCATTTTTAAATCTTACATTACAGGTCGCCATGCTTGATATTGGTGCATTATCAATTTTGTTTCTCACAGATGCTGCATCTGAGACAAGTTCCCCTATAACTTCTCTGGGTGTGAGATCATTTTTAGATGCTCACGGCATAGAGAGCCGCCAGGACTCTCAATCAGAAATTTTGGAAGATTCTGAAAGAGGGGTTCTGTTCATTATGACAAGAAATGCGCATATTATTGTTAGAGATATCACAAATGGAAAGTTAATTAGCTCTCAGCCATTGCACCCGAAGAAGGATTTTATTGCAATTTCAATGTACATTATAGGTAAGTATTTGCTGTTGAAAATAAATTGAAAAAAGAAAAGAAAAGAAAAGAAAAACCCGACTCTCTACTCTGCCTTCAGTTGTAGCCTCTTAAGAACTGTTTTTGTGCAGAGGATATTGATCTTATATCCGAAGTCCATAGTGAAGAGCACTTGCAGGAACCACCTCAGAGTAGTGAGGCCAAAAATGTACCCTCACAGACTGATGCTCACTCCAGAAGTACAGAACTAGAAGTCGGAGTGGTCCCCTCCTATGATTTTCCTCAGAGATTAATGAACTTTCTCATTTTGCTCTGTTGTGAAGATGCACTATACTTATACTCTTTGGATTCTATGATTGAGGTACATCCCATTATTTTCACTTTCAATTCGAGTACTTTGCATCTCCAAACTGCTACTTTGCATCTCCAAACTGCTAACCTGTAATAAGGCTCTACTCTAGGGTGGCAGCGATCCCATTCATAGAGTGGATCTTGCAAAACCATGTTGCTGGACTACAACATTCAAGAAAGATGAGAAAGAGTGTGGTTTGATAGTTCTCTATCAAACTGGAGTAATTGAAATAAGGTGACTAGCTCGTTACTTTGTGAACTACTTTCTTTCTCTTTCTCTCTCTCTCTGAAACCTATATGAATATGGTAACTCAAGTTACATGACTTTTTAGTGAAGTTAATACTTGATATATAGAATTTGGCATCATCTTTGAACAGGTCTTTGCCAACTCTAGAAGTGTTGGGAGAGAGCTCTTTAACGTCGATTCTTAGGTGGAACTTCAAGAGTGACATGGAGAAGACAATTTGTTCTTCTGATAACGGGCAAATTGCACTGGTTGGTTCCTTCAAAATGATTTGTAACAGCACACTGGAAATTCATAATTTCGTGATTCCCATTAACCGCGCCTAAATAATCATTATGGCAACTAATTTGGTTTGTACTATCATGTTATAGCTGTGCTTTACTGTTCCATCTAAATTTTCTTTTAATGTTGATTTTAGGTGAATGGGTGTGAATTGGCTGTCATTTCTCTATTGAATTACGAAAATGATTTCAGGTCTCTATCTTTTTCTCTCCCCTGTTCTTGCTGTTTGTATGAGCCCTGGCAACAACTCTAATACAAAGTCAAATGCTTAAAAAATTGCTCAAAAGAATTTGCTTATTGTAGGATTCCAGAATCTTTGCCTTGTCTTCATGATACAGTGCTTGCTGCTGCTGTAGATGCCGCCTACAGTTCATCTCCAAATGAGGAACAGGTTGCGGTATAATGTCAAGCTCTTTTATCTTCTTTGTGAAGAATTTGATTAATATGACCCTAATTTTGTCGCCTTAGGCTTCTAGCCCTGGAATCTCTGGTGGTATTACTCAGGGTTCAAACGTTGGCAAAGCGTTGCGGAATGTTGATCTTAATGTTGTACACAAGCATAATTATTCGCGTCTAGAGAGTTTGTTCTCAACTCCCCCATTCTTAAAACCTTCCGCGGCTTCAAAGGATGACCAAGAAATTCTTGAGCTTAATTTAGGTTCTATACTTGTTTTTCCCCCTACCATCTCCTCTTCCACCTTCCTCCTCTTTTGCAGCTCATTTCTACTATTTCGTTGCAGATGACATCATCATTGATGAGCCTCTATACGTCTCACCTTCATCTCAAAAACACAAGATTGAAATGAAAGGTAACATTATCTATTGTCAAGTTATTGCTCCTTGTTATGATATAACTGTTATTTTTCTAAACCACAGATAAGGGAACAGAGAGGGAAAGATTGTTTGATGGTGCAACTTCGGATTCGAAGCTAAGACTCAGAACCGCAGATGAAATAAGAGCTAAATATAGGAAGGCTGGGGTAATTCTATACAAATATAATCATAATAAAAGTTAAATGCTTGAGTTTTATGAACCATCTATATATAGTCCAATTCGGCATTTTACAGGATGCCTCTGGAGCAGCTGCAGAGGCAAGGGATAAGCTTGTACAACGCCAGGAAAAGCTTGAGGTATCATAAAGATTACAGATCCAACAAAAATTGCTCTGTCTTTTCAAAATCGGATGTGTGATTTTCCTCTTTTGACAACGCATATTATCTACTGTTGATTGACATCAGAGGCTAGGCCAACGCACTGAAGAGTTGAGAAGTGGGGCTGAGAACTTTGCATCACTGGCCAAAGAACTTGCCAAGTCTATGGAAAATCGTAAATGGTGGCAAATATGAACAAGTTAGTATCAAGTTGAAGTGATTGAAACCGTTAAAATTGGCATAATCCCTCATTCACAATTCTAAAGAATCAGCCTTTGTTCTTTGTTGTGGATTTTACACTGCAATATAAGTCCACTATTTGAACCTAAGTTTGTATTTACTTGTATTTGATGGTGTGTGCTGCACCTAGTCTTTATGTACACGTGGCTTGTTTTGATTTGTTTTTCCCTTTTTGTAACAACAAAAATCAACACATGATGCACACATTACATATAAACCAAGTATTTTGATCCCTGTGGATTTGATTTTTTTTCCTTATATTGGACCATTTATATCTCATGGTTGTTGTGTGACTGCCTTTTGAAATGGGTATTGATTGGGTCCGATTTTACTCGTTCTTATCATAAGAAAGAGAAGACTCGGCAACAAGAACCCAAAAACTCTCAAAATCATGGACGGTAGATGATTGAAACTTCTGAGAACTTTACCTTTTCCAATATGCTTCAATTATAGCATTTGAGAACTTATGGTCGGCAAGTATTCATATTTTCCACGTTTTATTACAGAGGCGGTAACATGATTTACTCATGATCTGTTGCGTCTAGAGCCTACAATTTTCATTCATCAATACTAGAAAATAAGCATTTTAAGACCTTTTTTTTTAAATGTCCATAATTTTATTAATTTAAAAGAATTAACTTGAGCAAATCTTTGATTAAATTTTTTTATAAATTATTGATTGATTTTGATAAATTATTAATTTATTTTTAATGGCGTAAATTGATATTTTTAAATTTATATAAAGTGAATGGCCTTTTCTTTAACAAGTTAAGAATATTTGCCACATTATGCTTTAGAAAAGATCATTTTTGCACATATTCTTTTCCCCTCCTCTCATCAGTCAGTTCTAAAAAAGAATATTAAAAAAGATCATTTTTGCAGATATTCTTTTTTTTTTTCCACTTCCTGGTCTTCTTTTTTTTTTTTTTTGCTTAAATCCTGGTCGGTTGTAAAAAGAGAAGGCGTTTTCTCAACTCCCAATGGTCTTTGCAATTGACTTAATATCCGTGTAAAGAATATGATTATTGACTCCTAAAAATCTCCGAGTGAAAAGAGAAAAACATAATCATATTTGGAGTGTATTGACATTATAGTCTCAAGTTCAAACATTTTTGTCAAGAGGTCAAATTTAGTGGCTCACAACGCTTGAGTGAAAAAGCCCCCCTTGTTTTTTGCATTTTCTTTCGTAAGTAACCTGCTAATAATGGTCGGAAAAGCCATCAAAAGACTAAGTAAGAAAATAAATAATAATTGACTTTTCATGGTAGTACGACAAGGACATGTTTGACAGGGAAAAAGAAAACAATCAAATGACTTACACATGAGGAATCTACGAGCCAGATTTGACCACGTAATTCCCCTCTCCTTTCCCACTCCAAAGGACCCACTTTTCACACCCTATGGCCCAATCAAATTTTATCATAGAGTTCTTTTATTTAATTAATTCCCAAAATCTTTTTCTTACTTTTATTTTTTTGCTCATACCGTCATACGCACCCAAAAAAAAAAAAAAAAAACATTCCCAAACAACCGAGTTAGGCAAAGAGAGAGAAACCAAAAGACACTTATAAAAGATAAGAGGACAGGTAACAAGAAGCACAGGTTGTGATTCTTTTGTTGGTTTGGAGTGGACGAGAGTAACCCTTTCGTTATCTCCTCAAATCAAAAACTCTTTCAATTCGTTTTATAATAGTCACTTCATCCCTGGTCTTCACACCCATCCTTCTCTCTCCTCTTTACCCATCTAGAGAGAGAGAGAAAGAGAGAGAGAGAGACCCAGAGCAAGCAAATCCTTGTTCTCCCACTTTCTTCATCTAGGTCTCCAATGGCGAGCTGGGTCTTATCAGAATGTGGTGTAAAACCCCTCCCCAGAATTCTATACCCAAAACCCAGAAATGGAATGTTATCAAAGACCATAATTTCTTCCTCAATTAGGCCAATATTATCCAACAATAAAAGCCTCGGCTTTTCTCTCGGGTCCTCCCCAATTAAAGAGAAGAATTGGGCGCTAAATGTGAGCGCTCCTTTGAGAGTCAAAGATTTGGGTGAAGAAGACAAAGAGAGAATCGTTAATGGAGTTAATGGAGAAGAAGAAAATGAATTTGACCCAGGTGCTCCACCGCCTTTCAAATTGGCCGACATTAGAGCGGCAATTCCGAAGCATTGCTGGGTTAAGGACCCTTGGAGATCCATGAGCTATGTCGTCAGAGATGTCGTTGTCGTTTTTGGCCTGGCGGCTGTGGCGGCTTACTTCAACAACTGGGTCGTTTGGCCTCTCTACTGGATTGCCCAGGGAACCATGTTCTGGGCTCTCTTTGTTCTTGGTCACGATTGGTAATTATTGCAACTTTTTTGCTTTTTCATCTCGTGAAGTTTTTCATTTTTAGTTGAGGAATTTCTTGCTTATTCACAAGATGATTGGTAATGGAATTTGAGTTTTATCTTTATTTTTTCTTTTCTCTCATAAATTGTTGAAATTTTGAGCTTCTTTTTTTCTTTTTTTTTTTTACCTGAGAAATACAATGCTTATTCACAAAATGTTCGGTAATGGAGTTTGAATTTCATCTTTTTGCTTTTTAGTTGAGAAGTTTAATGCTGCTTCACAAAATGTTTAGTAATGAAATTTGAGTTTTTTTTTTTTTTGTGAGGAATTTAGTGCTTATTCACAAAATGTTTGGCAATGGAAGTTGGATTTTTTTTTTTTTTTTTTTGTTGTCTGTTTTAGTATTGGATATTAGATTGTTGTTTGTTACTTTAGATATGGAGTTTCAATTGTCTTTTTGGTTTGTTGCTGCAGTGGACATGGAAGTTTCTCTAATAATCCAAAGCTTAATAGCGTGGTGGGCCATATTCTTCATTCTTCAATCCTTGTCCCATATCATGGATGGTTAGTTTTTCCTGGACATTCTTTCAGATCACTGAAATGGACGGTGATAGAATCCCGTTCTTTAATGCAAGTTTAGTTTGTGGCATATATTGTTTCTTAAATTATTAGTCATGTATTTACTAATACAGGAGAATAAGCCACAGAACTCATCATCAGAACCATGGACATGTCGAAAATGATGAATCTTGGCATCCAGTAAGTTTAGTTACCAGAGAATATATATCCCGTTGCAATATTTTATCTTTATGAACCATGGAATTAACAATTTGTATCATTTGTTTTTGCAGTTGTCTGAGAAGATTTTTAAAAGTTTAGACAAGGCTACTAAAATGTTGAGGTTCACCTTGCCTTTCCCCATGCTTGCTTACCCTGTCTATCTGGTGAGCAATCTTTTTCCAACTTCTTACATTTTTTTTTTTCCGGCTAACTTGATGTTTATTTTTCTGATGCTAATCAGTTAATGATGATGCTCTTAATTATAGTGGGGTCGAAGTCCCGGCAAGAAGGGTTCCCATTTCGATCCGAACAGCGACTTATTTGTCCCTAGTGAGAGGAAAGACATCATAACATCCACAGCCTGTTGGACTACAATGGTTGCTCTGCTTGGATGTCTCTCCTTTGTAATGGGTCCTATTCAAATCCTTAAGCTCTACGTTGTTCCATATTGGGTAGGTTCCATTTTTCTCTACGTTGATATGTTTTAATGACTTCAGGGAGAAAATACCTCCTATTTACCCTCTCTAATTTTGTGGCCTGCGTCTTTGAATCTATGTTCAAAATTGCAGATTTTTGTCATGTGGTTGGACTTGGTCACCTACTTGCACCATCATGGCCATGAAGACAAGCTTCCATGGTATCGTGGAAAGGTAATGAAATTGATTCTTTTCTGTATAAACATATCCTTGTTAATGAATAGCTGACTTATTATCCTAACAAAAAAACAATTCAATCTTTGCAACACCTTGCAATTATCTCCCACTAAGATTATTTTGTCAAACATAGCCGGAGAGCCAAAGCGGTCTTATTAACTCATTTAGCTAATGTTTGTTGATTCTGATTTTGTCAAACAGGAATGGAGTTATCTAAGAGGAGGACTCACAACCCTTGACCGTGATTATGGCTGGCTCAATAACATCCACCATGATATTGGAACACATGTGATACATCATCTCTTCCCTCAAATCCCGCATTACCACTTAGTGGAAGCAGTAAGTATCACTTGGTTATTACATGGCTGAAACTTTTTATGATTCTTGCAAACCCATTTTTGCACATCTCTAACCGTTATAAATTTCACCTCAAAAACAGACTGAGGCAGCTAGGCCTGTACTTGGGAAATACTACCGAGAGTCAAAGAAATCCGGGCCTTTTCCATTTCACTTGTTTGAAAGCCTAGTAAGAAGCATGAAAGAGGATCACTACGTGAGTGATACCGGAGATGTCGTGTACTATCAAACGGAGCCCGAGCTCTAGAAAAGCACACGAAGCTATAGATTCTTCACGGTATTAACAGCTATCTAATTCTGTGTAAAACAAGTGCTGAGGACAGCCATTCGTGCCCTCAAATTCATTCTTTCTTCCGTTGGCCAAAAGGGGTGCCTTAATAAGTAAGAACTATAAATTAATGTAATGATGCAATTGTGAAAGAAAATTTTGTATTGCTTTGGCCTGGAATCTCTCTGTATCTCTCTCCCTCTAGTTGCTTGTTTGTGTTTGTCCAGTGTCCACAATCCACATATTTTGTGGACAAGTTGAAAACCAAGGGAAAGTAATATTAGATGTTCAAATTAGTGGGTGAAAAGGCCCTCTTTGCCACCACATATCTGGAGGCAAAAAATCCAGCCAAAACTAATGGACTAAAATCAATATGGATGGATAGAAAATACAAAAAATCTCCAGTCATAAAACACGTGACGCAAAAAAAAAAAACAAACCAAAACTGTTGCAGTTTCAGTCTCATCACAGATAAAGACATTCGTATATTGAAAGCTCATACAATTTCTTTTCTTTTTAAGAGAAATAAAAGGAATAAAGATGCGTTACGATGTCCAAATGCTATCTTGGGGCCACCAAATTTCTCACACTCAATCAGCTGCATTGTAATAAAGTCGTGTCAATTTGGACAAGACCAATCTGGTCCAGAACAAAACTCACATCTTATGTCAATCAATAATTAGCTTATGAATTGTTTTTGAGCCATAATCTTAATTTTTTTTCCCTCCTAGAAGCCATCTTTTACACAAATGCTGTTCACTATTAACAAACATTCTCAGGCACAACATTTTTGCTTCTAACGTTTAAGATGAAAGCAATTGAACCCCTAGCCAATGCAAGCATATGTAATGTAAGAATAAAGCAAATCAGAACAAGTCGGTAAAATACATAACATATGAGAGAATCAATAAATCCGTTTGTTTCATAGATATCACCAATTGTTTCAACTTTTTTGTTATAGTGTTTTCTCTTACGAAATTTAAATTTCTGTTCAAATAGGCCCCTAAACAACTTGATTTAGGGGGGGTCTGTTCATTGGCGAAACAACATAACACAAAAACCTTCTTGCTGAAACTATAATTAAACTTTTTTTGAAAAAAAAAAAAAAAAAAAAAAAAAAAAAAAAAAAAAAAAAAAAAAGAGAACTTAATTAGAAAAGGCTGCTCTCTAGTGTTGCCAACATGAGACGGTGGCACTTCAGAGCAGTACAAGACTAAGTAACTAATTTCTTGTTATAATTATATAAAAAGAAAAATGCGTTACTTGTTATGCCTTAGTGGCCAAAATTTTTGGACCCTTCTTAAAAACGCACACTTGAACAAGTTCAAGGTCATATGTCAAAAAAAGACTCTTGCATAGTGTCTCCTAATCATCGTCAACCACAAATAGCCCCAACTTTGAGCTCTTTGCAAACCTGAACTGTCACTTTGTGCAGCTTCCAGTTTCCTCAATGGGTGGACCAGATGATGATATGATCGTTTTTCATGTAGAGAAAAGTGTTTGAAAGCCCAATCAATGAACTTGTCAAGTTGTGTTGTGGACTTGGATTTTGCCAAGCGTTGAGCATTGCCAGTGGCCCAATTTGGAAGTCTAACCTCAATGGCTAATCTTCACAAATACTTTAAAAAGCTCTTGAAATAAAGGTATTTATAAGAGTAAAGAGTAGAGATCTAGACTCAAACACTTTCAAAAATAAATTCTCTATTTTTTCAACATCTATCTAATCCCAATTGCATGAAATGACTTTTTTTTTTTTCTTTTGGCCATTAGCTGTTATGAGGAATAAAAAATAGGAAAATTTTCATTTTAGTATCATGTATTATATCAAAATATGAGTTTGATATCCTTTATTTTTAATAATTTCATGTCAATACCTCGACTTTTTAGAAAATCTTCTATTAGTACCTCAGGGAATTTTTTTGGGACACGAAAAAGACAAAATTACCCTTATTATTAAAATATATATATATATATAAGTTTTTTTAAAAATCTTAAGCCTGCAATCAACATTTTTGCTTTATGTTTGGAGCAGAATGAAGTTTAGGTGTTTGGTTGTGAGTCTAAGATTTTTAAAAAGCTTTTTTTATATTTAATAATAAGGGTAATTTCATTTCTTTGTGTCTCAAAAAACTGCCTTTAGGTACTAAAAGATTATGTTTTAAAAGATCGAGGTATCGATATGAAATTATTAAAGACAGAAAGTATCAAATTTATATTTTGATATAACATAGAATGCTAAAATGAAATTTTCCTTAAAAAAATATATGGTGGAGATCACAATCACAAGCTCCACTGTAGGTCAGACGTATCTCACGATTTCATCTCTAGGATTAGAATCGCGAGTTTTCAATTTGGTTTTTCTTTTCAATTTTTGGTAAAAATGTGTTTACTAAATTAAAAGGCTAATAAATTGTTTGTTAATAATAAAAATGAACAAATATTGCATAAATAAAAGTGGGTCAATGATATATTTACTAGTATAAAAGTTGATAAATAACATATTTCTAAGTAAATAAGTTAACAAAGAATACATTTACTTTGTAAATAAATCGTTAAATAATGAATGTATTTGGTAAATAATGTATTATCAAGTAAATGATTTGGCAAATATCAGACCACATAATATATTTACTTTTTTTTATGAATGTGTTTACTAATTCTAAATAAATTTGATTAAAAATGTCTTTATTAACTAGAAATCGATTTTTTTGAAAAAAATAAATAAATATCATAAATACTACAATTTACTAAGATTTAAAAATTAAACCCAAAACTAGAAACCGTAACCCCCTAAAAATTAAAATCTCTTCTAAACCAAGTTCGGCTAAAAAATGATGTGCTTCTTAGTCTTACTCAAGACAGAGGAAATCGGCAAGCCGCAAGGTCTTACATACTACATTTCATAAGAAGCCATTCCAACATTGACCTAATAATTGTTATTGTATGTGAACTCCACCAAGGCAAGATGCTCACTTCAACCACCCCTAAATTCAAGGCATATGCACGAATTATATCCTCAAGAATCTAGATCACACGTTGGAACTAGGCCATTTGGTGTTGAAATTCAATTTACGTCCCAAGATATTCTACCATCCTTTCATAACTTAGAGGTAAACCGAGTATCCCGATCAAAAACAATTGTCCTAGATACCCTAGGCTCAACCCTTCCCCTCGTCCCCTCCACCAGCTCCCTCTACCACGGCTGTGTCGCGATGAAGGCGTGCGATAAGGAGTTCGTGTCGAAGACAAGTTGTGAGGAATTCGCGACAAAGCAAAGAGTTCACTATGGTCGTTTTTGACATTGGCACTGATCAGGGTTACTATTGCTATTTCTTTTCGTCAGTCATTTTTTATAAACATGGTCATTTCCTACAATTTTTCCTCTTTTTTGGGCTGAATAATAACTTGTGATCTGGTCTATACGTTATTATATTACTTCATTAACAAAGAAGCCAACAGAGAGAGAGAGAGAGAAATGTCTTTATTATTTATTTTTGATAATGAAATGTGTTTTTATTTTCTTTCAACAAAAGTAGGAATAAGGGAACACAATACTATAAAAGGATCGATCAAACTCAGAATATATTTTCAAGGCTTTTTCAGGACAACTCCTATTTTAGAAGGGAGAAAAACCCCTTAGAACATCATTGAGAATCGTTGACCGTTTGCATAAACTATTATCTTTCCTCATGAAGTTATCAACGAAAATTCTCTTTGTTGGAGCTTTAAAATAACAAGAAAAGAGAGACATAATGGAGATTCTAAACAGGAAAGTTCTATTACAGAGTATGAAATCAGCAAAATACAATTTTGAATTCTTAAATTTCTATTACATATATAAAATTGTTGTAATTTTTTAAAAGGTGTTTGTTTAACTGTATTAGAGCATCGTATTGTATAATAATACATTAATATAATTTGGTGTGACTATCGTATTGTATAAAATAATACGGATTGTAAATTAATACGATCTATATCGTGTTATTGAATACATTCAGTTTTGACGTATTGTATTCTATTATTTTATAATGGATTCATAATTCATGTCAGGATTGAGCACGATTAAAGGTCAGAGTCAAGCCAACATAGAGTCATGTCGGAACTTATAATTGTTTGAATTTGAGGGGGTAGAATGCAAATTTATATTTTTAATAATTACATTTCAACCTCTTAATTTTTATAAAATAACATTTTGAACCAAAATTTTTATGTTTTTTTTTTTATAATTATCCAAAAATGTTCTGTTAATGTTATGACACAATTTCAATTTGGAATTGGATCCTAACTTAATAATTAATATAGTATACTGTATTACACAGTAACCCTCCTAAATGACGAAACGAAGATAGGAGGAGACTTCTTCGGGACAAAGTAAGCTATGATTTGCTTGGCTGAGAAATAATCTCGTGGGCGGCTCAACCATAATCCATTATAAACCCACTCATCCTTGCAAGGAAAAAGTTGGAATAAGCAAAACTAAAAAATTAAAAAGAAAGACAGAGGTCAAGAGGGTTGGCCCCACGCGCCATATTTGATGCCCTTTGGATGACAGCCTTTTGCACCTCCATTATACAAAACAAAACCAAAGCAATATTTCTCAATAGCATAACGCTGTCTTTCCTTGGCACCTAGGATTGTGGTCCCATGGGGATGATGTATACAAAGCTTTAATTTCCAACGTTTAATGGCCTGCCCTACATTCTAGATGGTCTCTTTCTTTTTCGTATTTTGTTTTTACTCGACCGTCTTCATGTCTATACAAAACATTCGTGGAGAAGATTTCTAGCACCATATTTTACTTTAAAATTTAAAGAGATCTAATGTTATAATTGTATTTATGAATTTAAAAAAAAAAAAAAAATTACAAGAATCTGCATATTTGATTTTGAACTCTACTTACAAATTTTAAATATTAAAGTCCTAACATTTATTATAAACTTGTGAATCAACATCAGTACTATCCAAATCCCATTAATAAGAAAAGGCTTCTAATATGAAGAACTGTGTTATGTGATAATGGCTATCCAAAATACTCTTCCATGACAACACTTTTGTATGAGATCACACTACAAAACGACAATGTGAAAATGGACGAAATACAAATAATAATCAATCACAATGTGAACTTGAACGAAATGGAATTTTGATAATCAGTCACTGTTGATGACGAATGGTCTTATTCTGACTTATTTTTAGTGCAGCCACCATTATATTGGCAGGCCATGATAATTGGTTTACATCATGATGTTTGTAGCAGGCAATAAATTAGTACCCACTAAGGACCACTTTAGGTTCTAAACCCCGTTTCTCTTATCTTTAATAAAAAAAAAAAGAACATAGAAATGAACCCAAAAGCAATTCTTCCTTCCACTTGTGTATTTACTATTTGTTTTCCATGTTCAACTCTCCATTTGCAAGGGCCTGCATTTGGGAAAGGCAATGAACAGCAGCATTGAAAATTGTAATGGTCGGAATCTCTGATTTTCTAAGCCTATCACAAGGATTTTGGTCAATACCAATTCTCTAGCCATTTGATAGTTTTCAATGTATAGCTCAAATTCGTCATGATGGTTTAGGACCCAAATATCTATTTTCAAAGTTAAACGTAGAAACTCCTCTAAAAACATGAATTTGTAAATTATGGACTAGATTCTCATGTCCTAACAATTGTGGATGAGAAACTCCCACCAGTAAAAATCACTGTGCATGACAAGATTTTTTCTTAATAGTGCTAGAAACATCGTCAGAGCCCTTGTTGGCCAACAGTTTCTGTTGAAATGACATACGAAGAAGCAAACAAAAAGAAACAGAAGAATATGGTACCATTCAGCTCAAAATGCAAAAGTGATGGAAGCAGGCAGATCAGGAGATTTTGCACCACAGAAAAGGATATAAGAAGCAGAGACCAATCCCCGTGTTCTATGGGTTAAACCAATTTTGCAAGGGAAGATAGAAGAACCATTCTTAAGGAAATTGAAAATTCAAAATTAATAATAATGATGATGATAAATGTAAAACCAATAAAGAATGATATTGAGAATTAGTCAATGGAGTACAGCTGCATACAAGAAGACTTTCTTTCATATTTTCATTTCCAGACGATAAAACACAAATTTGATCAGATCAGCCAAAGAAAATACAATTCCTAATCATCCCCTTGGGGGAAACATAATATAAATAGCGCCACCCAGTTTGGGAGAGGAAAAAATAATAAACAAATATAATAATATAATAAAAAAATACACGATCTGAATCTTTCTTCTGATTTTAACCTAGCAGTAACTTCAATTTGATTCCTGTTCATTTCCCCTTCTCTTGGACCTAAAATTGAACTTTCTCAAATATCAAATACGAGTGAGTTTGTAAAAATATTCAACTTTTTGTCAGGAGAAATGAGAAGCAGCACTTCTTATGCCACCATCTGCTCCTGCTCTATGTACAGTTGCTCCACCCATGGTGGAAGCACTTCATGAACTCCCTTGTTGAGTTGATAATGCTGCTTCTCTGAAGGGACATCCTTAACCAAGGAATGAACCCAAGAGACATCAGGCTCATCAATTGCCGATGGCCTCACGGCTTGTGGTGTAGCCCCAGCATTGCTGTTGTTTCTGAACCCAAAAGAGGCAGACTTCCTCAATTTGTTCAACTCATCTCCTTGAACTGCCCAGTCCAATTTCCCATCTGGCGAGCTCCAATCGGAAAAACCAGACGACACCATCATCGGCGCAGAATTAGCAGCTGCAGTTAGCCCCAGGTGGGTGGTTGCTGCTCCGCGGTCTATGAAGCTCTGGCTCCGCTTTGCAAAGGTGGAGGACCTCAAGTTCATAACTGCCGCTGCCACAGAACCGGCTGAGGACTCGAGCCCATAAGCAGAGGGCTTCCTCACCGGAGATGATGATGACAAGCTAGCTGGGTAGCTAGCGCGAAGTTGGTTCATGTTTTGGCGAAACTGAAGCCCGGATGGAGACTGCAACTGCGTTGGTGTTGAGGCCTTTAGTGAGAGCCCCTGCAATTGCGAAAACATAGAAGGATCGAGTGATCCAAACACATCGTCAAGGTTAGTCGGCTTTAAGTCTCCAATCCTACCAAAGAAGGATGGAGATGAGAGACGAGATATCTCATCCAACAATTGCTGTTGCTGTTGTTGTTGCTGTTGACTAGACTGACTTTGAAGTCCAAGCAATTCCATCTCCAAATTCAAATCTCTGGCGCAAGAGGCAGTCTTTAGCCTGCTGCCAGGAAGCTGCAAAGCAGGTGGTGTGAGGCTAACTTTGCTCTGCCACAACCCTGCATTCTTCGGCGAAGAAGCAGCTGCCAATGGCGACATTGGTGGTGTCGAAGTTGCGGGCAACGATGGACCAAGAGCCAAGGGGCTCAAAGCAGCCATATCTGCCGGATTGGCAACAAGAGACCTCGGAGATGGCATGGCCGAGCCTGTGGAGGCATAGACCGGGCGCAATTCTTCTGGTTTGTGCGCAAAGAAGCAGACTTTCCTCCCGCAGCCAGTCTCATCCTTGCAAAGCCGGGTTCGGTACTGAGCAGGGTGAAGCCACGACTCGAAAACCCCATGAGCATATTCACAAGCATCACCCTTTTGGCAGGTCCCTTTGCGGAATTCCGGGCAAGGAACACAGGTGTAAGGGTACTTCCTCGGGTCTCTTCTTCTGGCGTTCTCACCAGGATGAACAAACGGGCATTCAGTCCAGTCATGCGAGTAAGCCCTTGAGCAAGGCTTGATCTTGAAACTATACATTCTGAAATCGTCAGTGCCGTATATCCCATTGTTGATATCCGGCAAAGACACATCAATAGGATATTCCTTCTTCTCAGGTGTCGCAGCCCTTTGTTGTTCCACTTCCTCATTGCCTCCTACCACCAAGCTCTCCCCTTTCAGCAGCATTTCCACCACCTTCCTCCTCGAATTCAAAGGCGAATTCGAAACCGCGGCGAGAAAATCAACGGGCTTATTTCCGTAAGAATTGACACAATCAGCGTCAGCTGAGGCCTCAAGCAAAAGCTTAACAGCCTCAAGTGAAGAACTCGACCCTCCGGCGGCAGCGCAGTGAAGGGCAGTGACCTTATCCGAACCGCAAGATCTGTTGACATCGACTTTGCCAGACTCAAATATGTATTTCAAGACCTTGGTGCTTCCGAACATCGCGGCCATCATGAGAGGCGTTCTCTCTTCAAAACCCATCTTACTGGACCCAAGTCTTCTTCCGTACCAGAAGCTAGCTTCGTCGACGCCGAAACCCTTCTCTTCCAATGCGCTCTTGAAGGCGTCAAGATCGTCGGAGGCGGCGAACTCGAGCAATTCGGAGGATTCACTGAGGAAGCCATCGTTCCGCTTCTGGAATTCGCTTTCCATGGCGAACTTGGAGGGACTATTAAGTTTTTTCTTTGAACCACTGCACATGCCCTAATTTCCCTGCAAAATTGTAACAACAAAAGTTCAAAACCCTAATTCATCACACACAAAAGAAAAAACCCAAAAAAATCGCAACTTTAATAAAATTCATAGCCTGATTAACGAAAAAAATAAGAATTACACCCTGAAAAAGTTCTACAAACGTAAAAAATCCAAAAAAAAAAAAAAAAAACACCAAGTACCCAATTTTATACAAGTTTGACCTATATTACTTAAAACCAACGAAGAATTCTTCATAAATCATACAGAAATGAACGAAATAGAATCAGAAATCCGTTGCAGAAAGGGAAAGTGTCGAGATTTAAGGCTAAAAAGCAAAATTAAACCAAGTAACAGATGAAATTTCTTCGGTACCTTTGAGTGAATCGTTGTTGAGAAGAAGAAAGATGTGGAATTTGTTCGCAGAGCAGAATCAAGAAGACGCCAATTGAAGAAGAAGAAGAGGAATGATAATATGAGATGAGGATTGAGCAAGATATGGAGGAGGCTTTATATGGGGTGGTCTTGAGGTTGAAAGAAGAAGAAGAGAGGAAAGTGTGACTTTTCTTCTCACCCCCTTCTTTTTATTTATTTATTTTTGTTTTTTTGGGTTCAGTCAAAGTCAAATGTGGGGTCCACTTGCAAGGATTTTGAAATCGCTATGAGCTGAGAAAGAGCTGCTTCAAATTTCTTTTTTTTATTATTATTGTTTTTTTTTTTTTAATTTTCTTCTCTGCTTGTTGAAATTACTTGAAATGAAACCCAAATGTGTCTGAAATCCAAATTCACCCACAGCTCACTCACTCTCCCTCTGTGGCGTCATCGTCAACCGCCTCAACGGGTTGCAACTTCACGTGTGGATTGGGACTTGACTCACTTTTCTAACTCGCTGACTAGCGCGTGTCGTCAAACCGCTACTATTCTTTTTTCTCTTCTTTTTATTTTCAGAATATAGATATATAACAGCATGATCTTTACTAATCATGTTGAAATATAGTAAGAATTTAGAATATTTTACAACGTAATTATGTAACAATGTAAGATGACAATCATTATAATAATTAATATCTAATTGTGTTATTTTTAAAATATTTTTAAAAAAATATTGCATTTCAATTATCTCTTATAAATATGCCATTTAATCTAATTTTTACTTTTTTTTTTATGAAACTCTTTTCTTGTCCTTTGAAGTTGTATAGTATTAGCAAATATTATTCTCGAAGAAAATGTTATTTTTAATTTTACTTTATGAGGAGCATTGATAAGGTAACAAATTATCAATAATCATGCATAATAATTAAACACTATCGAAATCAAATCAAACAACATTTTAATTTAATAAGATTTTACGAAAATTATCAGTAACTTTTGACGTTCACTTTTGGTTAATAATTTCTTTTTTTGCTTACTTCATAATTCTCCAAAGAAAGAAAGCTGAAAGTAGCTAAAAAATGATTGAGCCAAATAAAAATGTTTCAAGTATCTCATTCGGAGTACAAGTGTTGAATGTGATTTTTTTTTTTTTTTTTTTTGAAAAAAAACACATGGCTCTTATTTTTCTAACCGTTGCTTACAAAAGCAAGTAACCCAATCACTAAGGAGACGTTTGGTTCATGGATTAGAATCATGTGATTAGAATTATTTTTGATTTACGTGTATTTTTTGTGAGAGAAAATATTATAGCGAACTATGAACCATGATTCAAATCATGGTTTGAATCATCCAATCAAACATCTCCTAATTCTCACGATCCTACACATGGTCATGCATAAAAATGTCCAGATAGACCCACACTTCTTATATATATATATATATATATATATATATAAAGAACTAGATTGGAAAAGAAAAAAAAAGTATATATATTTATATATAAACAACTAGATTGAAAAAGAAAAAAAGTATGGATAGAACGGGCCAAAGTGCGCGCGTAGGAGAGAAGTGGAAAATCAAAGGAAATTGGACCAAATTGTGACTGGCTAAATGAAATTCCAACCTGTCACGTTTAACGCGTTCTTGGTCTCTTTAGGTGGGTGACAGGATATGCCTGACTCACCCTTCCACTATCAACCTTGTTTATTCTTTTCCTCCCTCTCTCTCCTTTTTTTTTTAACCGACTTATGCTTTTTCAATAATTTTCCTTCTCTTATTTTAAAAAAATAAAATAAATATCTTTTCTCCTCTTAAAAAAAAGTCTTTCCTGGTGAAGGCTCCGTCATATTAAAAATAAAATGCAAGATAGATTATATTAAACAAATTTAACTATTAAAAATATTTTTTTATAATTTATTTTTTTAGAATTTACTAAAAATATCTCCCGTAAAAAAATTCTGTGTAATCTTTTATTTCTTTTTTGTTTCCCGACAATAAAAAGCTCATCATGAGCTAAAACATTATGTGGACGTTTAGTGCATGAATTTAGAATTATGGTTCAGAATTATTTTTAATTTATGTGTATTTTTTATGAAAAAAAATATTATAGTGAATCACGAACCATGATTCAAATCATGGTACGAATACATCAACCAAATGCATAATAAAAAGGAGTTCTAGTTCCCAACTTTTCCTCGTTCATTGACTTTAATAATAATAAACTTATGTGCATTAAAACTCAAAAGCTTGGAATATGCATGTATTGTTGGCCCTAATTCTTAAACCTGCGTACCGAATCATCACACTAAATTATTAAAAAAATAGGTTATAATAAATACTTGTCTTTTATGGTGCAGTCTTCATCTACAGCAGAAAATCTCTTTAATAACATGTTCTTAGGGTTATCACATTCCTCAATCAAATTACCAGATTCTTGAATGAGTTAAGAGTGAAAACATACCGTATGATTTGACGTATTAAGAACTATAACCATAAGCTCATTGATATATTGTCTCATTAGGCACCCATTAAATCAAATTAGGTCAATATTTGGTATCCACTCATTTGGTCCATATCTAGTTAAAAAACTTATTGGACTTTCCTAAATTGTCCACTTAATTTAAACAATCAATTTAAATAGCGGTAATATAATTGTCAATTAATATGTTGCCCACAATAGATAATAGGAAATAAAATTTCCTAATAATCTCTCACTTGGGCTACATATAATTCCTGAAAATATTATATCATATATTTCTTAAGTGCACAACTGTATGCTATTTATCATTTGTCTCCACTCTAGGTATAATCTAGTTCATCTCCTACATTAACATGAGATCATGATGGCTTTCATCACTTTCAAAACATAAAACTAAACCTTCTATGGTCATCACACCAACATATTCAATAACATATAAATGGTCATGCTTTAGTCCTTATGAGAAATTGATGGTCTAATTATGGTACTTGGAATGGTAAATGTAGAAGGAAAATTGTAAAAATCCCACATTGGCTAGGAGTGAAGCCAATGTGGTGTTTATAAGTGATTGCACTTTGAAGCCTAGGTAAGTATGTATACCAGAGACGCCCTCTCACGCGCAGGGGGGTGCGAATCACGATCCCGACGGGTTGGGGGCCAATGTGTGCTCCCGCAACCTGCGGACACGAATGCCAGACCGGAAAACCCGCTCGTGCGAGCTTACTTTTGCAATTTTTATTTTTGTTTCAGCCAAGTATTTCCAGCTTCCAGCCGTTTGGCTGAGCATAAAGTTGTGCTTAATGGCTGGTAAATGAGCATAATAGGGGCTTAATGGTGATCAATGGAGGTAAACCGTTTTTGCCATGGTTAATAAGCTTAATACCATCAGTTTCCTTCATAAAGGTCCGAACCTTGGTGTACAAAGGTGGCCGGATTCATCTTGAGGGAAATGAATGGTTTTTTGGCTGTAATAATGTGAGATTAAGCCTAATAATTGCTTAATTCTGAAACCCTTTTTCTCAAGAGCCTATATAAAGGGTTCTCCCCATGAAGGAAAGACACATTTTTTCATAAATCTCTCCCTCTCTCTCGGATTCTCTCTTACTTCTGAAGTTGTGTGTCTTTCTTTGTCTTGTTAGTTCGGTTTTGGTGATAGAGGAAAGATCCAGTTCTAGTTCGCCGGACGGTTCTGAAAGTGCATCGAGCTACCATCGTTGTCGTTGTATCCTAGGAGACGGACGTCCAACGTAACCTCAAGCATACGCCAGAGGGGACGAATCTGTTTTAAGAAAAACGTGGTTCACGTGCCTCGACTTTCTTCTAATTCCGTTTTTCTGAGTTTGGTAGGAAAGTTGAATTACTTTGTAACAATTTCATTATTCTATTTTTCCATTAATTATTCTTGTTCTTCTTTGTATTGTCCATATTTTCTAACACCTAACATTTGTCAATTTCTTCACAACTCTATCAAACATCTTCACCTTCACAATACCTATTCCAACAGCTTTAACACTAAAATCATTAGCCATCAACAGAGTACCAGCATCACATGACTTTTAAGAATTAAACCACTCCTTATGTGGTCACCTATGAAACGGATATCTAGAATCTAAAATCTAAGAGTCGGACATATTTTCATCAGTAATAATAGAATAAACATCATCTTCACTGTCATACCTGTCACCAACAACATTTACAGAATCTAAAGTCTCTTGGGTTTCTTGTTTTCTCTTTTCTTCAAGGTGATTCGTCAGTTCTTCATAGTTTTTCTTAATATACCCATTCTTATGACAATAGTAGCACACAATATCCTTCTTTGGACGAAATTGAGAATGATCATCTCTCTTATCATAACATCTACATCGTGACTTTCTCCTACCCTTATTCGAATCTGACTGTGCCACTAAAACTTGTTCAGTATGAGACGTAACACTAGGCTTTTTTATATTTACAATCTCTAACAAAGTAGTCGACACATCATCTACAGCCAACGTTGTCTTTCCAACAAAGAGTGTAGTCACCAAAGTCTCATTTAATTTGGGTAAGGAGGCCAACAAAATTACCGGTTTATCTTCCTCATCAATTTTAACCTCTACACTTAACAATTGAGTTATGCACTTATTAAAATTATTTATATGATCCCTAACATCAATTTCATCATCCATCTTCAACTCATACAATTGCTTCTTCAAATATAATCTATTTGTTAAGGATTTTGACATATAAACTTTTTTTAATTTTTTGCATAACTCAGAAGGAGATGTTTCATTCATAACACTATATTTCAGTTCATGAGCTAAACTTAAACGAATAACGCTTACCGCTTTCGCTTCTAATTCTTCCCAATCTTCATCTTTCATATTTTCTAGTTTCTTTCATTGCAACGCATTCAGTAATCCTTGTTGAATCAAAACATCTTTCATTGTACTCATCAAATGCTGAAATTACTTTTTCCGTCAAACCGCTCAATTGCTCAAACTTTATCCCAGATATCATCTTGACTTTTTTTTTAATCTTCACCACAGCACTGATACCAGTTATTGGGAAAAACACACCCATATACCCACATAGCAGAAAAATAAACTAAAACAAAATAACAGAAAAATAGAGAAGACAAAGATTTTAAGTGGTTCAGAAAAATTTCCTATGTCCACGGAAGAGAG